TATATATATATATATATATATATATATATATATATATATATATATATATATATATATATATATATATATATATATATATATATATATATATATATATATATATATATATATATGTAAGTGAAGGACACAATAACTAAGGAGCAACCTTAGGCTCGTGTGTTGATTGATCATGTGGCTGCCTTATATAGACTTCATAATGTATATGACAATATGTTTATAGTCTGATGTGTATTTCTGTTATAGATAATAGTTCATGTTCAGGTAAAATCTGTTCTCAGCTGTGTTTACCGAAACCAAACAATAAATATGTTTGTGCGTGTGGAGATGACCTGGGGTTGGATTCTAAGACTGGGATATGCAAATGTGTTGGTGGCCTAATAACTCTGAAGAATGGCACATGTATAAGAAAAGGTGAGTCGTGCACAGGCATTTTTTAGGTTAATTTTAACCTGAATGAGCTGAAATGCTAACCAGACTGGTTGTATTTCCACTTAACATAATCTGGATGATTAATTCAGCCAAGTCTGATGATAATTCAGCCAAGTCTGATGATAATTCAGCCAAATCTGATGATTAATTCAGCCAAGTCTGATGATTAATTCAGCCAAGTCTGATGATTAATTCAGCCAAGTCTGATGATAATTCAGCCAAGTCTGATGATAATTCAGCCAAGTCTGATGACGGTTCAGCCAAGTCTGATGATAATTCAGCCATAATCTGATGATAATTCAGCCATAATCTGATGATTAATTCAGCCATAATCTGATGATTAATTCAGCTCATATTCTTAATTAGACTTGTTTATACGTGTCCACCACGCATGCCTTTCTACGCCAGTTCTCACAGACAGCTCTTAAGTTCATTTGTGTGTTATAAAGGACTACCTAAGAATACTTTCCAATATTTAGTGTTTCAGGGAAATATGACATTTTAAAGTTAGCAGTCTTTTGTCATGGCATTTTTTAGGCATTTTTCATGGCATTTTTCATGTTCTTTTTCAATATAGCTGGGAAGTCATGTGCAGCTCATGAATTTCCATGCAGGAATGGAAGATGTATACCATTTGATCTGAAATGTGACTTGCACAATGACTGCGGAGATTATTCAGATGAAGATACTGGATGTGGTAAGCAAAACATTGAATCAGTATCCATAGCTTCATCTATCGATGCAATTCTATTTTCAATCCTAACATTAGTCCCAACTTTATAACACTTGTCCTAATCCCAACCATAATCCTACTCCTACGCCTATCAGTAATCAATCAATCCTAACCGTGACGTTGCAATCCTAAGGATCTGTTTATATGATCCCAGCTTGGCGGGACGGGATAGTCGCCGAGATCCCGCTCGTAATATAAACTCTGTTGAGCTAGACGGGGTGAAATGAACTTTTTGAGCACGCGTAAATGCTCACTTAATGGCTTTATCCCAGCAAGGTTTTTGTCCATATAATTCCGCCCCTAGGCAGGACGAAAACGTCCAGTCCCGTCACATAAACAGACAGAACCTAAGTCCTGACAATCATTGGTTTGGAACGCGAGTGCGACGTCCGAAACTCCCAATGTATGTTTGATGTATTGTAATATTTCAAATCTACGGTGTAGGATATTTAGCATATATTATATTATGGAATGTTGTGGAAGCACCATGTGGAAGCACCATGTAAATATAAAGAATGGCAAGCGGCCATTTTGTATTCTAAAATATATACTTGGTTAGTGTGGTTGTAATCAGTGGTCTTGTGGTTCAATCCGTATTTGGTAGATTCTACAATTGGCGACAAGGATGTCTTAAAGAGTTGAACTATAGTTTTAAACGAAAATGAGTTCAAAAGAGTTTGATGTCGGAGGATTTCGACCGTTTGATGTGAACAGTGATCCGAACAGTGTTGGGTCTGAATGGGAACGATGGCTTCGCAGTTTTCAGTTATATGCTGACGGTAAAGGACTTATTATTGAGGCTGTAAAAGATGACAATAAGGTACAGCGACGAGCATTTCTATTTCATTGTGCTGGATCGGATGTCCAGGATATTTTCGATGTTTTGCCTGAGACGGGGAACGCAAAAGAATACGAGAAGGCCGAAGAAGCTTTAACCAGACATTTTGTCACCCAAGTCAACGTTCCGTATGAGCGACACATGTTCAGAGAAATGGCACAGAATGAAAACGAAACGATTGATCAGTTTCCTATACGCTTGCGACGTAAAACTCAGCAGTGTGATTATGGAGATCAACTGGAGTCTCAGATCAGGGATCAAATTATTTCCAGGTGTCGGTCGAGTGATCTGCGCAGGAAGTTTCTGGAGAAGGGTCAGACGCTTAACCTTCAACAATTACAAGAAATAGCAAGAACGTCTGAAGCTGTGAAAAGACAAGCAAAGAGTATGAGTGTTCATAATGATGGAGTGAACCGAGTTTCTGAAAGGCCTGGTCAACAAGACAGACGTGAAAGTAAAGGTGAGAAAGGTGGAAAAGTTAAGAAGAGTGGTGAATGTTTTCGATGCGGAAAACCAGGACATTTTGCCAGAGATCCCAGATGCCCTGCGAAAGGATAGGAATGTTCCAAGTGCCACCAGAAAGGTCATTTTGCTGTGGTATGCAATACCAAAAGTAAAGATCATGGCAAACCAAGAGTGAGTTTTGTCGATGAAGAAGATGAATATGCCTTTACTGTTAAAGAAACATTGGACACGGGGAGAGTGACAGTGTTTGTTGGAGGTGTTCAATTGGAGATGGTCATTGATTCTGGAGCGAGTACGAACGTCATTGACAAACACCTGTGGGAAGATTTAAAGAAAAAACACATTAAATGCACTTCGAGGAAAACCACGAAGAAACTGTATGCCTATGCATCAACAACTCCCCTTACAGTAACATGAACATTCACAGCAGATGTAAATGTAGCTGATAGACACGTGACAACAGAATTCACCGTTATCGAAGGAAAGGGGGAGTCGTTGTTGGGAAGAAAGACAGCAACCGAGCTTGGAGTCCAAAAGTTACAAATTCCAGTTGCGAGACACAAAGTTTTGTTCCAAGGTATTGGGAAATTGAAAGAGTATCAAATGAAGCTGCATAATGATCCGCAGGTTCGACCAGTTGCACAGTCTGTTAGGCGGACTGCATTCAGCTTGAGAGGAAAGATCGAGGAAAAACTTGACGAGTTACTTCGTGAAGACATTATCGAGAAAGTTGATGGGCCAACCCCGTGGGTGAATCCAGTTGTGGTAGTGCCAAAGGCGAATGATGAGGTCCGGTTATGTGTGGATATGCGGTGTGCCAACAAAGCGATTATAAGGGAGAGACACCCGATTCCAACTATTGATGAAATACTCCAGGATATGCAAGAGGGAGGTGTTTTCAGCAAGCTAGATCTCAAGTGGGGGTACCACCAGATAGAATTAAGTGAAGAATCCAGAAGCATCACAACTTTCGTGACGCACAAGGGTTTGTTCAGATACAAAGGTTGATGTTTGGTATAAGTTCAGCGCCAGAGAAGTATCAGCAGGTGATTCAACAAGTGTTGCAGGATTGCAGTGGGACAGCCAACATCTCGGACGACATTATCATTTA